CTGGGCCACTTCAGCCCCTAATCTAATCACTGGCGTGGGTCATTTCAATTATGGACACCAGAGTGTGCTGGGGAGAGCTGCTCATAAAACCTTCCATGCTGTTGCTCAGCTAATTAGTAAGCCCTCCCTGTCTCAGCAGGTAAATAACAGGACTGGAGGTGCTGGCTGCTGAGACAGAATCCAAGCCTGGAGCAGGATACACTGAGAAGTGACAGAGGCAGGGCCCTCGATGCAGATGAGAGGCACCAGCTCCCAGGAGGGAACTTGGGGAACTGGGTATCTGCTTTGGGGTGATCATCCATGGGGACTGGCAGAGGAACTCTTTACCTTAAAACTCTAGTGCTCAAGCATTCTGGAAGCCTCAGAGTCAGAAGAAAGGGTGAAAACTTAAACTCTACCAATTTCTACTAATCTTACCTTCAGCTGTTGTTGTTGTTAGGTTGCCATCAGGTTAACTATGACTCATGTTGCTGTTGTATGTGCCATTGAGTCGCCTGTGACTCCTAGCGACCCTGTGTACAATAGCTCTGAAGTCTGTCTTATTGTCACTGTCTCTGACACACCTACCTTCATTATTCCAAATTACTATGTCAATCCATCTCATCCCAGGTTTTCCTCTCTTGCACTGTCCCTCCACTCTTCCAAGCATGATGTCCTTCTCCAAGAACTGGTCCCTCCTGGCCATGTGCCCAAAGTATATGAGACAGAGCTTAAAACCCAAACCTCCAAGGAGAAACTTGATTTCACTGTCTCTAAGACAAATTGTTTGTTCTCTTGGTAGTCCACGGTATGTTTAAGAATCTTCTCCAGCACCACAGTTCAAAGGTATTTATTTCTCTGTCATCTTTAGTCATTGCCCTGTTCTCTTATGCATAGCAAGCAATTGTGAAGATCACGGCCTGAATCAGATGCGCCTTAGTCTCTAGATGGACATCATTGCTCTTTAGCATTTTGGAGAAGTCCCTGACAGCAGATTTCCCCTAATGCAATTAATTTTTTTATTTCCTGACTGCTGGTGCCAAGAGTGTTGATTGTGGAGTTGAGCAAGCTGCATACAACCCATAGACCCTATAAACATCAGATCCAAACTTTGCCCTTTCCAATGCCATCCACACTATGTCTGATAAACTTAAGCCTATTGTTACAGTCACCATGTCAATCCTTCTTGTTCTGGATCTTTCTCCCTTTCTCTGAACCTTCATTTTCCCTGCATGATATCTTTTCCCATGATGTCTGGCCACTCTGGATAACATATCCAAAGGATATTACTATCTTTGCCTCTGTGGAGTACCCTGTTTGAACTTCCTCCAAGACAAACGGACTTATTCTTTTTTTTTTTTTTTACTTATTCTTTATGCAGTCCATGGGATATTCAGTATTCCCCTCCAACACCACAACTCAAAGGTGTCAGTTCTTTTTGTGTGTGCTTTTTTAAAAAAAACCCCAACAACAAAGATCCATTAAGTCAATTCCAACTCATGACAATCTGTGTGCATCAGTGTAGAACTGTACCCTATGACATTTTTCATGGATGATTTTTCAGTAATTCTCCAGGCTTTTCTTCCAAGACACTGCTGGTAGGGCTGAAACTTCCATGCTTTCAGTTGTATGAGTTAACCATTTGCACTAACCAGAGACTCGCAGATATGGATTTAGATGGCTGAGATGTGAGAGGTTCTGGGAAACTCTGGGAAAATGCCTGAAAGATTAATTTTAGTAGAAACCCATTTCTCACCAGATCCTTTTCTGGCAGTTCTGTGGTTTGCTTTCTGGTCTGGCTCATGCAGACAGCCTGGGAAACTTGCCTTGTCATGGAGATTTAAAGGGTGAGAAGCTCAGCTTCACCCTGCACAATAGCCCCAGTCCTTGAAGACAACTGGAGAAGGTAGTGGGCACTTCTGAGGAGGAGACGGGTCCAGGGAGCCTCCTCCACCTAATTATCAGCAACACAAAAGGCTGAGAACTTGCAAGAAAACATCCTAGAGGTGCTTCAAAGATAAAAAGATTCCCGTGATGAGGGGAGAGCTGCCTGGCAAGCCTGGGGCTGTGCTTAAGTCATTCTATTCTAAAAGTCCCTGCAAGGGGAGCTGTGATTTCCTGATGAGCACCAAAGCTACCTTGAGGTCTGGAGAAGAGCAGATGGTTCGGAGCATTCACAGCTGGGAAAATCACATTTTTGCTCTGTTCCTCAGTTTCCTTCCTCTCTGTAACAGGAATAATGACATTTCTAAACAAGTGGAGGGGCTGAGCTAAAGCTGCTCTGCTAAGTAAGGACTTCTGTCATTCCAATTTCCCCTCCCCTCCAGGGGGAGGCTGCTCCCCAAGGAGGCCTACAGTGCCTTCCCCTCATAAGGCCAGTTACTTCAGAACCACTTAGGACGCTCTGAAGAGCACGGTGTCCACGGTGAAGCCAGCTTAGTGGACAGACGTTACTCCAGAAGGGGCTTCTTAGGGTCTCACTTGAAGAATCTGGGTGCTGTTCTTTGGAAGGGCATGAAAACGAACTCTGTGGGAAGTAAGGCCGGGAGCTCTTTTGGCTGCCTCTCCTGCTCAAGGCTCTAACAAGCAGGAACTAAGGGGTTTACAGTCCTTTCAACCCAGGAAGTATCCTGCTGGGAAGCACAGAAGCCAGTGACTAGACCTCATACCAAAGACCCAAGACTCGTTGGTTTGTAGATAGCAAGTAGATGATAGCTTTATTATGTGATAGATTTACTTTCCAGAGTGCTTTTACATACATTATTTCCATAACTCAGTGATTAGTGTAAACATAAGTAATCCCAATATCAAGTAATGTACATTCAAGCTCTGAGAAGTCAAGCCCTGGATCCCCAGGCAAAAGTGATGGAACCAGAACACAGTCAGATCTCTGACTCTTTCTTTATCTAGTGTTTTCTCCTAAACGTGATAGGAAAGGAGGGAGAAATCACCACGATAAGTTCACGGAAGGCCTTTGCATCCTTTAATAACTGGGGAAGTAGGGGAAGACGGGGGCTTGCTGAGGAGGTCAAGGCAGAAGATGCCAGTGGCAGAAGGTAGGAAGTGAAGAAGGTAACAGGTAGAGTTTGCCTGGACACTTCCTGTTCACAAACTTCTTATGTTCCCCATTTCATTAACAGCAGCAGTGGAATTTCATGGACAATTGACGTTGAGCACTAACTGGGAGGTAATGAGAGATAGGATGCAGGTAAAGGCTGTTTGAATTTAAATTCTTTTTCTTGGGAGGGGTGGAGGGAGGCAGATTTTTTTTTAAGGAAATTTTAGAGCTTAAAAAGTTTGAAGCAAACAGCATTGGATTCTTGTGTTCTCTGCCAGCAGTGTCAGGAGGGATGATTACCCCTCAGCCTGCTATGGGCTTCTTCCTCTGACCTCCTGCTGGCCCCTCTGAACAGACGGTAGAGGGATACAGAGGGCCCTGGGATCAGGGCTCAGGTAGATTTTGTCCCTCAGACTTATAAACTAGAAATGTGTCCAAATCTTCAGTGAGTTAGAATGAGTTTCCCTGCAATAGTTATTGCAACTGGTGCATTTGAACTGTGTACCTTTGGGATTTCAGCACAGCTTCATACCACTAGGCCACCAGAGTTTCCTGGTATTGAATTAGTTAACTAATTAAATCTTGAAATAACACGAAGGTTGTATTTTTTTTAATTGACAATCCCATATTTTACTTTCTAGCTTTTGTATGCCAAAGAAATTTTTATCAATCAATTTCAAAAGTATATTTGATCAAGTTATTATTGGGATTCAGGTTATGAGACTATAGGAATAAAGACTGATCAATACAGATTTTGGAGATGACTCTAGCACTGAACACGATGAGCCTGAAGTTGATTTTCCCAAGTGCCAGGTGACCAGGAGTCTCCTATTCTGGGCAAGAGACCACGTGCATGATTGGAAAGTGAAGGACACAGTGGGATAGTCAAGGAGAAATACCTTGAATCCAAGAACTGCGTGTTATGTCTATCTCCCAGGCAGTCTCTCATACTTTCTAAATGTCGTGTTCAACCGGGCTTGCAAGGCTTGGCACCTGAATCTCCTCTAAAAATAATACCCTGTTTCAGAAGTGTGAGAGGAGATGGAGATAGTGGCTTCAGCTGAGAGAGTGGGAGCACGCATTTCAGAAGTGCATAGAGATAGTGAGGATTTTGCCTTCTGTAAAGAAGATATGTGATCCACTTCTCTTTGTATTTCCTAAGGGAGCTCTGGTGGTGTAATCCATAGGGAGTTCACGGCTTACCCTAAGGTTGGCCTCTCTAGGTCAGCCTTTGTTGACCAAACTCTAGTTATTCAAATGCACAGCTTCAGAAACTCAATGGAGGGTCAGCTGTGAGTAGGTTCTGACTCAGTGGCAGAGAGAAGAATGAGAGAGAGAGACTATGTTTGACATCAAGCCTGGTCACATTTTTATTGTTGACTGACTCTCTAAACTGAACAAATGAATGGACAAAATGGAACTGGGAGATGATCACGTGTGCACGTGTGTGTGTGTGTGTGTGTGTGTGTGTGTGTGTGACAGGGACCCTGGAGGCATTGTGGTTAAGTGATTTCCTGTGGGTCAAAAGGTCAGCAGGCAGAATTCACAAGCTGCTCCCCAGGAAAAAGTCAGGCCCGTTTGCGTACATAAGTATTACAGCCTTGGAAGCCCTTTGGGATGGTTCCACTCTGTCTCCTAGGGTCGTATGTGTCAAAGAATCAGTTAACCAGTGAAAGAAAATGGTTTTGGTGCCTAGACATTTTCTGAAAGGAGACAAAAGAGATGGCTGACAGTGATTACTTTGAGGATAAGGAGTGGAACAAGGAGGAAGGTTTCTTTTTCACTGTATACCACACACTGTTGCATTGTCATTATAAATGCATTGCTCTCGAGACATCAGGTGTGACTACCTAGAGGTAAACAGGAGAGGCAAGGATGAACATGAAAAGCTTTTCAACCCACACCTTCTCCCCCCTCCACACTCCACAGTCTTTCCTAGGTGCCGGGCGTCAACTATCAGTCTTCACAAGGTGCTCCACAGTGCCCAGAGGGAGCACAGGGTGACCGAGTAAAGGCCCAGCACGAGGACATAGGTTCGAAAGAGCAGGCGGTCAAAGCGGTACAAGAGGGTCAGCCACCGGATCTCCTGTTGGTCAGCTTGCTCCTGAGCCTGGAGACTGTCACTTATGGATCGCACCTGAGACCAGATTTCTTTCAGGGACCCCAACTGGATCTGGTGCTCTTGACAAACGGGTGAGTCTGTATAATGGAGGAAAACACCCGAGGTGAATCATGTTCTCCTAGGGCCCATCTGAACTTTCCACTGAATTTAGCTTTCTTTATGCTTCAAGGAAGGTTGCAGGAAAAATTGAGCTGTGGATCAGGGGGGGACTGGAGCCTCTCTCCCTTTCTCTCTGCTGAAGGAAGGCAAGGACGTGTAGAGGGAATCTTTAGAGAATATGGTGGCACTTTTTTTTTTATAACTAGGGTGGAGCTAGGCCAAATCTAGCTAGGAGATTGGTTTGGTTTGTTTTCTTTTTCCCTTTAAGATGGAGTCAATCCCATTTGTTTTAGTCAGAGTTTTACGGGTAGGGATAAATGCTTTTTTTTCATGTTTAGTAAATGAAATAAAAACCTATACAAATAGCTCTATATCTTTACCTCTTTATCCATCTGTCTGTCTATCTACACCAGCGGTCTTCTAGTCTGGAGTCAATGGCACAATTACTTTGGAAAGAGAAGAGGAGAGGAGAGGAGAGGAGAGGAAAAGAAAGGAAAGGGAAGGGAAGGGAAGGGAAGGGAAGGGAAGGGAAGGGAAGAGAAGAGAAGAGAAGAGAAGAGAAGAGAAGAGACGAGACGAGAAAAGAAAAGAAAAAAGAAAAGAAAAGAAGCTAAGGGGGACTCTGGAGAGAGGATAAAAGGCTGGAGAGAGGATGAAAGGCACCCAAGCGTCGAGGACTTTCCTTCATAGGGTCGCTATGAGTTGCCGGCAACTCGACGGCACTTAACAACAACAACAACAACAACGGGGACAGGGCATGACCAAATTGAGACTTTCTGGAAAATCAGGGGACACAGTGTTTAGTAATGAGAAGTAATGAAAAAGTCAGCACAAGAGCTAAGAAGTAAATGTTTCAAAGTTTTTGCACAAGCCCGTGGTCTCATGCTCTACCCAGGAAAGCTGACGTGAGGATGGGAATGCAAGACAAGGCAGAGGTTTCAATATTCCTCACAAACCTGTTACCCCAGCGAGCTCAGCCCTGAAGTCCATTCTAGTCCCATCAGCATGGGTGTCCCCTTGAAGGCATGAGAGGGGCTGTTTCTGCTCCCTGCGCCGCTCATCATGGAGGAAATTGATCAACAAGATGGATTTTGATAAGCTGAGGACCAAGAAGATCATGCAGACAGTAAAGAAAATCCCTAGGAGAAGGAACCAGAAGGGACATTAGTTGAAGTCTGCAGGTTTCTCTTTCTTCCCATCAAGGGTGACATTGGATCTTTGACAACAGCTGTGGTGGCCTAGTGGTAAAAAGCTGCACTGCAACCCCAAAGAAAAACGTGGTTTTTTTCTCTGCAGTGAGAGAAGGATGGGCAATTTCCTCCCATGTGATTTACTGCCTCTGAAAACCCACTGGAGGGTCAGCTATGGGTTGGTTCCAACTCAACGGCACATGCCACACAACAACACTGGAAGCTGGGTGAGAGGTGACCCAGGGTGGCTTACCAATCAGAGGGGTGCTCACTGCACTCCTGGGCACCTCGTCGGACATGTTGACCTTGAAGACAGTGTAGCCCACCAGCACGTTGCTCTTGAACACAATCCTGGCACGACAGTTGGGTGGCAGGTAGAAGCTCCCCAGGTCCACAAGCATCAGGAAGATACTGGGAATCAGAAGGCTCACTACGTAGCCGAGCGGCCGCCTGCGAATCACCATCTAGTTGGGGACAAGGGACAAGGAATTTGCTGAGAAGAGAGATTACCCACCGACTACTATTCGGCCAGTGGACCAGCAATGCTCCCTGGAGTCCTCACATTTCTGTACAATGTGGGTGATCAACATAGTTTACTTTAGAAATGTGTTTTGTGGTTACATTGTGGTTTAGAGAATTGGGGGGAAAAATCACGTAAGTATTTACATAAAGCTGATAATGACGCTACTGACAATGACAATAATGTAAGTTATTATTTATTCATGACTTGCTGCGTGCCAGACCCTGATCCAAGTTTTTAAAATGGTTTATCTTATTTCATCCTCACAATTCTAAGCGCTGAGTGTTGCGTTTCATAAACAAGGAAACAGCTTTTCCAAGGCAATAAAAAACTTGTCCATTTTCACACATCTTATAAACAAGAAACTGTTAAAAACCAGTTTACACCAAAATCTTTCTTCTTAAACCACTTACTGTGCATCATATTGGTTTATCAATGACTTATTATTTCATCAGTTTAATCTGACCCACTCTGTGGAATGTGAGTGCTTTAGCACTTGTGTCTGTCAGGGTCTGAGCAGAAAGACATCTGGGATATTCGAGAAGAGTTTACTAACGCGACTAGTTACAAGATGTGGCCAGGGGTTAGGGAAACCACAGGCAGTACGATGTCCCAGGGCTTTTAAGGAATGGCTCAACCATCACTATCTTTAAGCCTTATGTAGCCAAGGGAAGGGTTTCATTACTGGGCCCGAGAGCAGCAAGAGTTGTGTGAAGAAAGCTGACAGACAGGAGCTATGGCTTTGTCTCTAGATTCAGCTGCCCTGAAAATGATGCCACAGGGCGGAAAAGGGAGGGAGAGGTGCCCACTTGTTCTCTTCACTCTCCCCTGTTATCCCTCCAGTCTCTAATGACCAAACACAATCAGAGCTCATACTATTCCTGCAGGTCACACAGTTTGGGTCTTCAGACCAGGGAGGAGATGGAAAGTGGGCCTGGAGGAGTTCACAAAAGGTACACCATTCCCTCTGCAGCACCACTGGGCATTCAAAACTGCTGAGAGGTCTTTGCGGCTTGGATGTTGAGGCTCATAGCATTACTGTTATCATCGCTGCTCCTTTTCACACAGAGCTTCTCTGGAAAGTTAGAGAAGAAACTAGAGAATGACAGGTTCTCTTTCAAACACTAGATTGTGGATCCCTTAATTGTAAGAAAAAGAACTTTTTAAAAAATCCTCCACAGGAATCAAAATACCTTATTCTCATTGCTAGGGAGCAGGGAACACCAGAGGAATGTCTATCTGTGTTTCATTGACTATGCAAAGGCATTTGATTGTGTAGATCATAACAAACTGTGGCTGACTCTGAGAAGAATGGGAATCCCAGAACACTTGATTGTTCTAATGCGAAACTTATACTTGGACCAGGAGGCAGTCGTCAGAACAGAGCAAGGGAACACTGCATGGCTTAAAATTGGGAAGGGCGTATGCCAGGGATGCATCCTATCTCCATACCTTTTCAACCTATATGCAGAACAGATTATCCGGGAGGCTGGGCTCTATGAGGAGAAATGTGGGGTCAGGATTGGTGGACGATTTATCAACAATCTGCGTTATGCGGATGACACAACCCTGCTTGCTGAAACTGAGGAGGACCTGAAGTGCCTGCTGCAGAGTGTCAAGGACTGCAACCTACAATATGGATTGAGGCTCAATGTCAAGAAGACAAAGATTCTCACCACTGGACCAATCGGCAGCATCAGGATGGATGGTGAAGAGATTGAGATTGTACACAGCTTTAGTTTGCTTGGCTCCATAGTCAACAGTCTTGGCACCAGCAGCCAGGAAATTAAAAGGTGCATTGCCATGGGAAAGTCTGCTGTTAGGGACCTCTCCAAAGTGCTGAAGAGCAGTGGTGTCTCTCTGGAGACTAAGGTGCATCTGATACAGGCCATGGTCTTCGCAATCACCTGTTATGCATCAGAGAGTTGGACAATGACCAAGGAGGATAGAAGGAGAACTGATGCCTTTGAGCTGTGGTGCTGGAGAAGAGTACTGAGTATACCATGGACTGCTTGGAAAACAAATAGATTTGTCCTGGAGAGGGTTAAACCGGGTGGCTCCTTGGAGGCAAGGATTCTGAGGCTCCATCTAACTTACTTTTGAGGAGAGACCGGTCCTTGTAGAGGGACATCATGCTTGGGAGGGTGGAGGGACGGCACAGGAGAGGAAGGCCCTCTATGAGGTGGATTGATTCAGTGACTGGGATAATTGGGATGGGAGTGTCAGAGACAGTGCGACTGGCACAGGACAGAGCGGAGTTTAGGGCTGTTGTACATAGGGTCGCTATGAGTCGCAGGCGACTCGACGGCACATAACAACAACAACAACAACAGGGAGCTCTGGTGGTCTACTGGGTAAAGAGTTGCACTGCCATCCCAAAGGCAGGAGGTTTGAATCCTCCAGCTGCTCCATGGGATCAAGTTGGGCAATTTCCTCCCATGCAATTTACAGCCTCTGAAAGTCTATGGAAAAATCAACTATGACTCAGTTCTAACTCAACAGCAATGAGAAAGCCCTGCCCCACCCCATTGTTATCAAGTTAGAAATTACTCACAGTCAACCCTCCAGAAGGTTTCAAGAGGCTTGCAAATTGCACGGGAGGAGATTGTCCATCTTTCTCCTTCAAAGTGCCTGGTGGATTTGAACTACCAGAGAAGAGCTGCTTGTGGTTAACATTGCAACTCACTACTGACTACACTACTAGAGGTATCTCAAAATGGGTGTTAAATAGATTTTTACTGAACAGATGAATATTCTGGGCCCTTTGCTGTAGTATTGAGGGAGGATATAGAGAAAGTATTGTCTGAAATCTCCTGCTTCTCCAATTCAATAGAATTGAATTCTTTTGACACATCAGTGTACTTACTAGAAGCTTTTACACCTAGGATGCTATTAATCTTCAATACAACTTAGTGGTAAGTAAAAGCTCCACTTTAAAGAGTTCCTAAAATGAAGTGAGCAAGTTGAATAAGTGGCAGAACTAGATTGAGCTCTCCCAACCTAATTCCAAGCATGATGGTTTTTTTCCACCATATCATAGTTACAACTGACTTGATTAGTCCTCAGAGTTTAGTGCAGGATTCTTCTCATTCATCTCTGCCTCCTGTTCTGGAAGAGAATAAAATAGAGAGGAAGCTGAGGCAGAGATTAAGCACAGGGGCCAGGCTGAGAGAAGATGGAGCAGACAATGCTGAGAAGGAGCCTGGCTGGGGAAGACCAGACATCACCCTGTTGATGAGAGTTTCCCAACCATTGGGTCTGGGAGCAAATCCCAACTCAGCAGAGCCTGGCAGGCTAGTGCCATTCGACAGTTTGTAATTGTCTTTCACATTAAGCATGTCGTTGTTAGGTGCCATCCCATTGGTTCTGATTCTAGCAGCCGTAAGTACAGCAGAATAAAATGCTGTCTGGCGCTTTGCCAGCCACATAACCATTGTTCTGTCTGTGCCCACTATTGCAGCCACTCTGCAAATAAATTTCCTTGTGGTTCTTCCTCTTTTCTTTGACCTTCCATTTTTCCAAGAGTGATATTCTTTCCTAGGGTCTGGTTCCTCCTAATAACATGCCCAAAGTACATAAGGCAAAAATCTCATCATTCTTGCTTCTAAGGAGCATTGTGGCTGGACTTCGCCAAGATAGATTTGCTTGTTCTTTTGTCCATGGTGTATGCACTATCCTTTACCAAGAGCACAACTCAAAGACATCAATCAGTTCCTATCCAGTCTTCCTCATTCAAGCTTTCTTATGCACATGAGTTGGCAAAAAAGACTATGGCTTGATCCATGACAAATTAGTCCTCAAAGGGCTCTTTAATACTCAACACGGTCTTTTATAGCAGGTTTTCTCAGTGCAGTATGTCATTTGATTTCTTGATTGCTGCTTCCATGAGTAAAAGTAAATCCTTGACAAAGTTAAATGTTTTCCATTTATCATGATGTTGTTTCTTGATTTGGTCCTGCAGACTGTTTTTCCTTTATGCTGCAGTGTAATCCATATTGAAGGCTCTAGTCTTTGATCTTCAGCAGCTAGAATGACAAGTGTTCTTTTCAGTAGGCAAAATTGTGTCATCTGTGTGTTACAACTGTTAATGTGCCTTCCTCCAATCCTGATGCTGCATTCCTCTTCATATACTATGAACATGGTGAAAGCACACCACCCAGATACACACTATTCCTGATTTTTCATTTATTTTTTTAAAATTTATTATT